AATAAACCATTATAAACATAAAATAAAAAGAAAACTTACTAGTAATCCACAAGCTAGAGCAAGTGCAAACTTAATGTCCAAACTTCAACAATCTTCAACAATTTAATCTTACAAATTCAAACTTACAAATGTAGTAAAAATAGAAATGTGGAAAGATAAAATGATATGGAAAAATTCCCTTTTCTTTTTCCTCTCCTTTTGTTTGATGATAATGTTGCTATTTATAGATATAAATAGCATACTAACATCAACTAACATCAACCAAAGTTCAACAATAATTCAACCACCAAGAAAAATGCAAGAAAAGGTCAAAGAAGATAGGAAAAATGAGAGAAAGGTTGGAATTTTCGGACAAAATCCGAGAATGAATTTTTCCGAGCGTATTCGCGTACGTCTCGGGCAGCTCTGCTTCTCGGGCTCGTTTTGGGCTCGTCCGAACTCGGAATTGAGTTCCGTTTTTTTCTACGCGTTGCTAACGAACCCCTCTATTTAATGATGTATGCCAATACAAATTTCACCCAGAATACAAATATCTAAGGATTTTTAACTTCCAAGGTGTCGGCAACTCGCTCGATTTTACTCTTCGGTTCCGTACGAACTCATCCGAACTCGAAATCGAGTTCCGCTTTTTCCTGTGTGTAGCTAACAAGCTCCTCTTTCCATTAATGTGATCATGCTCAATAACTTTCCAAAATCCTGCTCTTCCGAGATTTTCGACCGTTCCTTTATTTTACAAATACTCGAAAAATACAAGAAAAATATACAAAATTCCACACAAATACTTAAATATTACAAATTACTAAATAAAACTAAAAACTACCCAAAATCCCACAAACTTACTAAAAATACATAAAAATAATAATAAAAAACATTAATAAAAACATAACAAAAATAACACTAACAAGCCTCAAGGCACGTGGTTGAAAAATACCATGATTCCCAGAAATCAAAAGATAAGAATATAGAAACTAATTTTATGGTTGGGGAATCCTCTGAAAATGATGCAACGCGTGTGGATGATGACTATGGCATCGATGACATATTGAAACTGGATTTTGCCGATACGGCATTTGAAGACGGAGCTGGAAATGACCTAGAGAATAACTGATGATCATGTTTTTATTTTGCTTTTTGAGTTGTAATGTATTTGTGTATGAGCTACTTGTATCTGTACTTTGAATTTGATCAATAATAAATGTTGTTTTCTTTTAGATCATGGATCGGTCTCGAATTCAAGATGGAGATATATGTATTGCAGATTGTGCTACTACTCATACTATCCTCAAGGACAGAAAATATTTCGTGAACTTGAAATTAAATGAAGCAAAAGTAAACACAATATCCGGAAGTGCAAAGATAATTGAAGGTTTTGGAAAAGCCATATTTTTTATGATGGGCGGTACAAAATTTATATTAAGTGATGCACTATTCTCCCCAAAATCAACAAGAAATTTGTTGAGTTTTAAAGATTTCCGAACAAACGGATACCACATTGAAACGATGAATAAAGGGGGAGTTGAATATCTTTGCATTACCTTAGATAATGCGGGAAATAAATGTGTTTTGGAGAAGTTACCCGCTTTATCCTCGGGTTTGTATTATACCCGGATTAATATAATTGAGGCATATGCTGCAACAAATTCAAAGTCGAATGAAATATTTAAACTTTGGCATGATCGACTTGGTCACCCTGGCTCGATAATGATGCGACGAATTATTGAAAATTCTAGTGGCCATCCACTAAAAAATGAGAGGATATTGCAAACACATGAGTTGACATGTGCCTCTTGTTCTCAAGGGAAATTGATAATGAGACCATCACATACTAAAGTCGGACATGAATCACCATTATTTTTAGAAAGGATTCATGGTGATATATGTGGACCTATTCATCCACCTTGTGGTCCATTCAGATATTTTATGGTGTTGATTGATGCCTCTAGTAGATGGTCTCACGTAAGTTTGTTATCCACTAGAAATATGGCATTTGCTAAATTACTTGCCCAACTTATTAAATTAAGGGCTCAATTCCCAGATTATATTATCAAGAGAGTCAGACTGGATAATGCTGGAGAGTTTACATCTCAAGAATTTAATGATTATTGTATGGCTGTGGGAATTGATGTTGAACATCCTGTGGCACATGTACACACTCAAAATGGTCTAGCAGAATCACTTATTAAACGACTGCAGCTTATAGCTAGACCATTGATAATGAGAACAAAACTCCCCACTTCAGTATGGAGACATGCTATTCTGAATGCAGATGATCTAATTCGAATAAGACCAAGTGCATACCATACATTCTCGCCATTACAGTTGGCATATGGTCGAGTACCAAATATTGCACATATAAGAGTTTTTGGTTGTGCAGTATATATACCAATTGCTCCGCCACAACGTACAAAAATGGGGCCTCAAAGAAGGTTGGGAATATATGTTGGATATGAATCTCCATCAATAATCAAATACCTTGAGCCAAAAACAGGTGATATTTTTACAGCTCGTTTTGATGATTGTCATTTTAATGAAGAATTGTTTCCCCCTTTAGGTGGGAATGAAAAGCCAATTGAGAGAAATATTGAATGGAGAACATCCGCATTATCATATCTTGATCCTCCCACCAAATAAAGAGAGCAAGAAATTCAAAAGATCATACATTTGCAGAATATTGCAAATCAATTGCCAAATGCATTTACTGATTTAAAAAGGGTGACCAAATCACATGTGGTAGCCGTAAATACCCCTGCTCGAATTGAGATTCCAAAAGAAATGGCAAATGACGATAAGCCAAATGAGTCAAAGACACGCTTGAAACGAGGAAGACCAGTTGGGTCTAAAGATAAGAATCCTCGAAAGAAAAGAGAAGTTCTTGACTCCAATTTGAAAAGGAATCAAGATGATGGAAAAATTTCGGGACAAAATGAAAATATTGAAATTTCCATCAATTACGTGAACAATGGGAATCTTTGGAAGCGTGATGAGATCATGAATAATGATGATGCATTCGCATATATGGTATCAAAAGAAATTGATAATGAAATTGAGGATCCTGAACCAAAATCTGTAGCTGAATGTCAGAAAAGACGTGACTGGGATAAATGGAAAGGCGCCATTCAAGCCGAGTTAGATTCACTAAATAAACGAAAAGTTTTTGGGCCTATTTCTATTATACCAAAAGGCATAAAACGCATTGGATACAAATGGGTTTTCACCAGAAAAAGAAATGAGAATAATGAGATCACGAGATATAAAGCTCGCCTTGTTGCACAGGGATTCTCCCAAAGACCTGGGATCGATTATGATGAAACATATTCCCCTGTCATGGATGCAATTACTTTCAGATACTTGATAAGTTTAGCTACCCATGAAAATCTTGAGATGCGTCTCATGGATGTTGTGACTGCTTACTTGTATGGATCATTAGACACCGACATATACATGAAAGTCCCAGAAGGAATCAGAATGCCCGAAGCACTGAACTCAAAACCTAAGGAGTTATGTGCGTTAAAGTTGCAAAGATCATTGTATGGCTTAAAACAACCCGGGCGTATGTGGTATAATTGTTTGAGTGAACAATTACTAAAAAGGGGATACTTGAATGATCAAATATGTTCGTGTGTTTTCATAAAGAAATCACATGATGGAGTTGTGATAATTGCTGTCTATGTTGATGATCTTAATATTATTGGGACAACAAATGAAATTCGAGAAGCAGTTACTTTTCTGAAAGGCGAATTTGAAATGAAAGATCTCGGAAAAACTAAATATTGCCTTGGCTTACAGATAGAGAGAGTACAAAATGAGATATTCGTCCATCAATCTAACTATAGTAAAAGAGTACTGAAACGATTTAATATGGACAAAGCTAATCCCCTTAGTACTCCTATGGTTAACCGAACATTGGATGTTGAAAAGGATCCATTTCGACCATGTGAAGAAAATGAAGAAATACTTGGTCCTGAGGTACCATATATGAGTGCAATAGGGGCTCTTATGTATCTTGCTAATTGCACCAGACCAGATATATCTTTTGCTACCAACTTGTTAGCAAGATATAACTCGTCACCTACAAGGAGACACTGGAATGGAATCAAGCATATATTCCGTTATCTCCAAGGAACAATCGATCTGGGATTATTTTACTCAAATGATAAAAAACATGAAATGATCGGTTTTGCAGATGCAGGATATTTATCAGACCCACATAAGGCGAGATCTCAGACTGGCTACGTTTTCACTATTGGTGGAACTGCATTTTCCTGGCGTTCTCAGAAACAAACACTAGTTGCTACATCTTCAAACCATGCTGAAATCATTGCACTGCATGAAGCAACTAGGGAGAGCATCTGGCTCAGAAATATGACTCAACACATTCAACAAGCCAGTGGATTATCAAATAATAAAGATCCGACGGTCATATTCGAAGACAATGCAGCATGTGTCGCTCAGACCAAAGAAGGATACGTCAAGAGTGACATAACTAAACATATCCCACTAAAGTTCTTCTCATACACTCAAGAGCTTGAAAGGAACAAACAGATCAAGATTCAATACATCCGATCATGTGATAATGCAGCAGACTTATTTACGAAGGCGCTCCCAACTACAACATTTCGAAAGCACGTCCATACATTGGAATGAGACATCTTCGAGATTTACACGGATGATAACTCGAGGGGGAGCATGTGCGGCTGTACTCTTTTTTCCTTATCTCGGTTTTTTTCCCACAGGGTTTTTCCGAATAAGGTTTTTAATGAGGCAGCATAAACGCACATTGCATAGTGGTTATTCCAAGGGGGAGTGTTATAATATGTACAAGTGGAATAAACCACTATACACAAAATAATTTCACTCCATTATTTGATGTTATGGGAATAGTGAAATGGGGTATGGATATTAATAATTATGCGAATTGTGTCGGGAGAGTTTTGCCTATAAAAGGCACTCCAAGTGTAGAGAAAATTTGTACCATTGAAAGAAAGAAAGAAGAAATAAATATTCAGTATAATTTCTATCCGGTTTCTATTTTGTGTTCTTTATCTTTCTCGTTTTTATAACAACATTGTTTTTTTCTTTAAAAGCTATTTTTCAGTATTCTTTTCTCTCCTTATTGTATGCTAGTTTTACAGATCTGTAGCCTTGACCCCTAGTAAAAAATAGGAAAAAGCAAAAGAAAAAGTAATATATATATTTATTTATTTTTTACTTTAGAAGCTGTTTTTTAGTTTACTTTTTATTTTTTCTCCTTATTGTATGCTAGTTTTACAGATCTGTAGCCTTCACCCCTCTCTTTGATACATGGGTTTTGCTCTTTTCAAAAGCCAAATGTAGTTTGTTCTCAAATACCTGCAGCTTAACTCCTCATGTTCTTAGTTTAACAGATCTGTAGTCTTAATCCCTCATTTTAGTTCGCCCCTTTTTCCAAATTTCAGCAGTTTGTTCTTAAAGATCTGAATTACCAACCAAAAAAAAAGAAAAATTTACTAAGCAGGAAGTATTCGACAGTATATTTGTTTCTAAATGAGCTTTAGAGGAAAAGGGCTACATAGGGAACTGATAAATTCTTCTATTGTGTTTCTTTGCTTATTTTCTTGAAAAGTAATTGAAGTGATGTTTAATTATTCCCTATGATTATCTTCTCCAATTCAGAATAATCTCAGCTAGTATAGAGTAGAAAAATAAATATACTCTTGTTGCGGCAAATATGATTCCTCTGTTCTTTTTGGTTGTCTGTTTGGAGGGTTTAGCGGCGTTTCTTTTAGTTGTGAAAATTGGGCCATTAAGGGAACTGGTAATTAAGGGCTTAGATCAAGTGACAACGAGAAGGGCTACGGTTTTAACAATTGCTGGCACTATATTTGTTATCCTTTTGTCAAATTTATTTAGTATACTCAAGATACAGAACAAGGGTGCTAAGCATGGTACAATGACACCTATGGATCAAGTTCTGTGGAGGACCAACTTGTTAGAGGCTACTTTAATGGGTATGTTTCAAATCATTTTTGTTTATCAAGTATGTTCACATTTTTCCCTTTTTCTTTTTTATGATGTGTATGAGTGAGTGTAACTAAATTCTTGTTTGTTAGTTGTATGTGAATGTGTATCTTATAACTGTGTTTCTTCTGGCATTTGGATGTTGGTCTCCAATGCAATGAAAGCTATGTGTTGTTCTACTCTTTTATACTTCGGTTTGTAGGACGGGGTTGAAATAGTTTAGTATGGATTTATATTTGAGTTGTTGACGCCAAATATTATTAAACTTGGTGTCAAAGACTAGAATGCTTCTATTCAATTGCTATGATTTTAATATAATTCTGTTCTTGGAAAATGGTGTGTACTGGTTTATGTGCATTTTTTTGTGTTCTTTAATCACGGAAAATAATTATGTATGCCCCGAATGGCAAGGTTATTTGGTTTTAACAAAGAGTTCCAAGTCTTGGATGCCAATTGAAACCTTTGCAAATGAGAACACAAAATAAGTTATGATGATGTCAATGGAGATTGATTCTGAATTCTAGGCATATTTATGAAATTAATCAATAGCAAGATCCAATCCCCATATTTTCATTAAATTGGGTTTGGTGCAGTCATTTGACATCATTCTCATTTTTGTTTGGGCTAAATATTTGGAAATGAAAAGAGGTAATAGTATACAAAAGGACTCATATTTCTATCCTTTTTTCTTTCGCCATTTTTTTTAAAAATACTCTCTTTCGAGATAATGTGTTGCACAATGTACAGGAAAAAATTGAGGAAAACAAGGATTTTGTGATTTTGTTAATATTGTGAATGTGTAAGTTTGGATGATCGATTTTGCTATTTTCATAAAATATCATTCTTCAGAGCAGTATCAGTATATCCACCAATTGTTTAACGGTGCTGCTATAACTAGTGGAATTATGAGACATTTGCCTTTCCTCTTTCTACACCGAAGGAAAAATGAATAAGTATCAAGACAAGGTTAATTTTCTATATTACATTTGATCTAATAAGGCTTAACCAGTATTTGTGCTTGACAATAATTCCTATTTTATTTACGTAGTCGACCCATCTGTAACTTATGGCAACTCCGTTCTTTTTTTATCCTGCAGGATTTTCTCTTTTTCTCGGCTTTTTAATAGAACGCATACACCATTACATGAAGAAGCTGATCATGATAAGGAACAAAACAGGAGTTTCAAAGCAAGAATTTGAGAGGCTGGAGAAAGAGAAGTCGGAGCTCAAGGAGAAGGAAGAAAAGGGCGCTGTAGAAATTAAGCGACTGAAGAAGGAATTATCTTCTCTAACCGAGAATTTGAATAAGCTCAAGTTGGACTTAGCCAAAAAGGATAAGCAAGTGGAGACTGCTGAAGCTCATGTTTCTGCTCTTCAGAAACAAGCTGCGGATCTTCTTCTAGAATATGATCGACTATTGGAAGACAACCAAAATCTTCAGAACCTTGGATATCGTTAGTTTAGATGAAAATTATATAGAATTGGGATGTAGAGTTTGGAACTCATTTTGTTGACAAATCATGGTGACAATAGGTGCTTGTTTTTTCTTTCTTTCCTATTATTTTACCCTATGGACACCAGATGAGAAGATAGCCCATCGACCACAAGACATGTTGATGATTTTTTGAAGTGTTCAGTCTCATTTCTGAATGTTTTTGCAAGCATGGTTTTTCTTCGATACTAATTTGAGCTGTTTTCAGTTGTAAGTTTGTTAACTTGATAAAGGTATATGGTGCTTTGTGTGGACGCTGCACATCTGTTCCCATTAGTAGACATTTTTAGACTTGCTCGGGTGTTATTTCGTTAAGCCATGTAGCCATTTTTAGATGCTACTGTAAGGTGTTTATGTGGGGATTGTATATAAATATTTTGGTTTTCTAATTTTCATTGATATAAAGTGAATAAGAGAATTCAAAAAATTGGTTGGTGAAAAAATAAAGTAATTTTGAGTTTGTGAATGAATATGTGAAATTTATATATCTATCTATAAGTAAAAAGTTTTTTTTTTTTTATTTATATATTTATATATATATTTTCGGAACAACGGATTTCTTTTAAAGAGGAAAACACATAATTACATACAAGATTAGCTAAACAACTGAATAAATCCAGTTCTACCAGTAGTCAGCGCACGAGCAGTTACCGTCCTTAAAATGGTGAAACCGCTTGACGTCCCTCACCAATATCTCCCTCTCGGCCACCATGCTCATAAACTTGATCGCCTCATGACAGTCCCCACACACTCTGAGGTTCTTGGTAATTACCAATCTCGTCCCCGGCCTCGTGCTCAGGATCCCAAAACCAATAGCTAGCCTCTCACTATGATTCCGCAGCATGCGAACCTTCACATCCTCCCCTACATCATGCAACACAAACTCAGTCCTCGGGGCATAACCCAAACCCCTCATCCTAACCTCCATCTCTTCCAAAATTCCCATTATGCCCTCGTACCACGGGTGACTTCTATCGTCAGCAACAAAACCATGCACCTTCCCTTTAACCTCAATCGCGCTATACCCCGGGATTTTCTTCATCCCTCTCGTTTTCATCGCCTTCCTCACCATAGCAACCCCATCCCACCTTTTGGCCGTCGCGAAAAAATTCGACACCAGAGTGTAAATCCCGGGACAATCTGGTTTTAGTTCGAGAATCTTATTCGCCACTATTTCCCCTATATCGAACTTCTTGTGGTTAATGCAACCTGAGAGGAGTGCCACACAGACGCTCATCTTGGGTCCACACTCCATCGAACCAATTACATCGCGGGCCTCCTCAACTCGTCCTGATCGAGCCAAAACATCGATCAAGCTAACGTAATGTTTTTCCATAGGCCGGATTTTGTACTCATTTATCATGGCATCAAACCACTTTCGGCCCTCATCCACCAAACCCGAATGACTCATTGCCGAGAGAAGGGATGCAAATGTCACGTGATCGGGTTTTGCACCTGTCTCTATCATTTGGTGGAAAATTGAGAGTGCTTTCTCTCCTTGACCGTGAATACCATTACTCGCAATCATTGTATTCCACACGATAATATCCTTGGAGCTCATTTTTCCAAATAGTGTATTTGCAAGGGGCAATAGCCCGCATTTGGCGTACATGTCTATGACTGCAGTGCTCAATACATGATCTCGACTCACGTCAAATCTTCGCGCCACGTATCCATGTATTTCCCGGCCCATTAACAGGAACCCTAGTTGAGAACAAGCTAAAAGTGCGCTCACAAGCGAAACCACATCAGGGTCAAAGCCACGTGTCTTCATCCCGTTAAACAATTCCAATGCCTTTCTCGCGTATCCATTTTTCGCATACCCTGAAATCAAAGTGCTCCAAGAAACAGCATTTTTGCGACTCATAGCCCGGAAAAGACTACACGCACCACTTAATTTCCGGTTCTTGGCGTACATATCCATAAGACTAGTCTGCAACACAACATCCATAGGAATACATTTTCTAATCGAGTAAGCATGCAAGGAATACGCCACTTTTGGGTCCTCAACATCTGCGCAAGCTTGTATAAGGGCCAAAATAACAACACCATCACCTTCAAATCCCTCTTCCCGCATTTTCCTGTAAAAGTCAATTGCCTCTTCTGCCTTTCCACTTTTAGCAAATCCTGTGATCATGGTGCCCCAAGAGACCACATCCCGTTTACTCATCTTATCAAACACACTCACAGCCTTATCCATTTTCCCGCACTTTGTGTACAAATTAAGGATGGATGAGCCCACGAAAAGATCACTCCCATATCCGGATTCCACTGCTTTTTCCCAGATTTTCTCGCCTGACTGCAAGTCCATGGAGGTCGTGCAGGCTTTGATGGCCACCGTGAAAGTTGAGCTGTCGGGCTTGACTTTCTCCAAGAGCATCGACTGGTACATGTTTATGACTTGGCGCGGGTGATTCCCGCGCGAGTAGCCTATTATAATCGCGTTCCAAGAGTCTATGCCTCTTTTTGGCAATGTGTCGAACAGCTTGCGCGCGAGGTTTATGTTGCCTGTTCGTACGTACGAGGTTATGAGTCGGGCAGAGGAAATACCGCTGCTGAAAGCTCCTGTGGTGATTAAAAGGGCGTGGGTTTTGGAGATGGAGGCTATGTCTGTGCAGGTTGAGAGAATATGTTTGAGGTCTTTGTGAAACCATTTCTCCAAAAGCATTAAATTTTGTCGCAGTGGATTATATGCAAAGCGGTTGGTAAAATGCAGTAGGATTGAATGGAGTAACGGAACGTAGATCCCCTAATCAAAACAACTACATAGAAGAATGTATTCATTTAAAATTCTAACATACTTTTTAGGATTTTATTAAAGAGGGTGTATTTAATTAGGATTTTTAAAGACTTTTTAAAATTTTAGAAATTTTGGTGTATTCAATTTAGATTTGTTAAGACCTTTTAAAACTTTTAAAAATCCTGGGGTATTCAATTGGGATTTTCAAAAGTCTTACAAAATCCTGAGGTATTTAATTTTTTTGACACTAAGATTTATTAAGACTTTTTAATATTTAGTAGGATTTCTAAACAAAAAACCTTATATGAAATCTCACTTCAAATCTTACCTCCGGACTTGAGATTTCATAGAATTCTTCCAAAATCTGAAAATCCTAAAAAGTCTCAAATCTCGAAAAGTCTTAAAATGTCACTTAAATTCCGAATTGAATACACCCCCCTTAGAATAGGATTTTATCAGTTTTCATGGATTTTGTAGAATTTATTAGAAATCCCCAAGAGTGACATGTGGTATTGTTCAGGACTTCTATAGATTTCTTAAGACTTTTCAAGAATTTTGTAGACTTTTATTATTGACTAGTACATAACCCATGCGATGCACAAGGTGCACAATTTTAAGGTTATTTATCCAAGCTTATAATTATATACATGAATAAACAAAAATGTACGGGATATATAGTACGTGACCCGTGCGAAGCACGAGATATATTTATTTGGAGAATATTATATTATAAGATGCAATAATTAAAAGCTTATAATACGCAAGAAAATTGTACAATGTTCAATAAAAGTTTTATAATATTCAAGTGGAGTCTTAAAGTCTCTTGTACATTAAGACTACTGATAAAATAATATTTTAATCAATGAATTTCCTTTCCTTGTAGCCAAATTGTGAATGTGATTTGAGGAGTACCACAAATCGATATATAGCTGACTTGCTTTTTTCATTGTAGTTTTTTTTTATTATGGATTTAAAGATATTCTATAATATAGCAAAAATTAATTTTTTTATTACAATTAGGATTTTTACTAAATATAAACTCTCAATCTATGGTGTTAATCAACGTTTAAGTCTAAAAAATTAGGAATTTTTACCTCTTCTAATCAACGTTTAAGTCTAAAAAACAATAGAGTTATTATAAGTTTTTTTTCTATATCTTTTAAAACATTAAATATGAGCATGTTAGGGCTAGCTTGTAAAATAATTAATATATTATCTCACTAAAACATTTATACTAATAAAAATTTAATTTTAGCATATAAATTTACTCCTTGATATAACAGAAAGTAACAGTTTTACCTATTGTTGTTTACCATATAATATTTAATTATTATTTTATTATATAATAAAAAAGAAATATTGTTAAATAGTGTAGTAGAATTGTTATAAAATTATATGATTTTTTTTTTACAATATGGATTTAATATTTTTTTATGATTTGATAATATAAACAAATCTATACTTAACTTTGACAAATAAAACAAATAAATACTTTAGTAAGTATTTAATGTATATACTAAATAGGAATATATTTGGTATAATCAAATACCAAATATAATCAAATAAGTCAAAGTGTACATTTTTATTTGGTATTTGATTTTTTTATTATTAAAATCTTTTTATTATACTTACCTTTTTAAAATAAAATAAATAAATAAATAAATTAAATAAATAAAATATTATAATACCAAAATAGTAATGGCATTTAATGCAGTTGACTTTTCTGGATAGTAAATGTAGTAAATAGAATCTCCTTTTATATAAGTATAGATTGTATAATACGGAAATAGTAATGCAATAAATGTTGTTAACTTTTCTTTATACTAAATCTGGTAAATAGTATACCTTTTAATATAAGTATAGATTGAATAAACATCAACATTAATATATAAATATTTCATTGTGATAACTTATGACAATATTTATACATGAAAGAAAATAAAAATCATTTTTTTTTTTTTTCGGAACGATAGAAGATTTATAATAACTCAAGGGAAACATAGTTCAATACAGTCGAGGCCAACAGCCGAATAGACAAAAACAAAGCCGGAAAATAAAACTGGGAGGACACGCATAAAGCGGCCTAGAATACAACAAAAAACTAAAATCCGAAGAGGGACAGCAAAACCACTGCATTACATGCCTAGCCTGCCTACCAACTTCACTGGACTACCAACAGCAAACCAAAGAAACCAAAAAACAGAGCAAAGGAAAGAAAAAAAACACTCAAAAGCAAGCTAAAATCACACAGCCTTGAACTCCTGCCAATCTTTTAATGCTCTTTTCATCATCACATTGACAGGTAAGTTGATTTTCTCAAACATCCACAGATTCCTGCTTTTCCACAACCACCACAGAAGATAAGTGGTGAGTTGTATTCTGTCCTCCACAACCTGTGTCTTCTTGATAGTGCAAAGATGCCACCACCAACTTTTAAAAGAGCAGCCTATAGTTTGAATTCCATTCCATTGAAGAGGTCCCTTCCTCCAAAGATTCTGAGCCCTAGTACAGTGAAAGAGCAGATGTTCAATAGTTTCTGGGCCTTCACCACAACCAGAGCAGAGCACATCCACATCAAGTCCGTTTCTGATCAGATTGGTGTTAACAGGCAAAGTGTTAGTCAAGCACTTCCAGATAAAGTGTTTTACAGTGCCTTTGACCTTCAGTTCCCAGCTCCTAAGCCGAGCTTTCCTCATCACTGCAGGGTTTGCACCTGTTCCAGGATTATCAAGAGACAGTGCCTTCTGGTAAATCAAATGCTCATAAGTAGAAGAAACTGAGAAGATCCCTTTCTTGCTAAAGCTCCAGTAAGTTCTATCATTCCTGGCTGGGTTAATGGTCTTGATGCTTAGAATAGCTTGACTATCTTCAGCATTAAAAAGCTGTTGAACTAGCCAAGTGTTCCATCCTAACCCATCTTCATGCAGCAACTCCTTCATCCAAATGATATGGCCCTGTGCAATGTCTAACAGCTTAGGCTTTGAGTTGGGGAGAGAAGGAACCCAGTTCAGGTCAGAAATTCTAGTTAGGGCACCATTCCTAATTTCAGTCCTCAGACCCTGCTTAAGGATAGGCAAACAGTCCAGCCATGTATGCCAAAGCCAAGAGCCTTGCTGGGTTTTAGAAGCATCAAAGATTGAGCAAGAAGGAAAATACCTGTCCTTGAGAACTCTACATACCAGAAGCTCAGGTTGAGTGACAAGCCTCCACAACTGCTTGCATATGAGAGCTTGGTTGAATAAGCTTATGTCTTTGAACCCAATACCTCCTTCCTTCTTAGATAGAGTCATGAAAAGGAGAAATGTGAATTTTCTATTTTATTGTTTGTTTATTTATCGTTTTGTACAAAAATAGTCGAATTTGTTATAAATTTTTATTCTATTCAATAAACCACATAATCTCAAAGACATACTGTAACCCCCAATCGATTTTTAAAGAAAATCCATGGCTTTTTCAAAAATCAAGGTAAAAATTTTCGAAACTTATTTTTCGAATCATAAATTTTTGACGTTACTCATTCCTTTCATAAATACAGTTCAAATCATAACTGAATTACGGGGATTCATTACCAGATTTTTCAACGGTTTTCATTAACCACAAATTGATAAATTTAGCATCAGATCATACTCAATCATATATCAAGTAGGGTTTTTCATCATAAACCAAATCCGAAAGTTTTCCAAAATGAACAAGTTCAAAATCCAATCCAAACAAGTTCAATACCAACATAGTTCATAAATAAGCGGAAGCAATTTAATAAGCATAATAAATAAGCATAATAAGCAATGACCACCACCCGTCTTGTCTCGTCACGCGCCACTGCTTAACCTGCATCAGTTACGAGCAGGTGGGAGTGAGTACAGTTAAATATCGTACTCACACTATGCAATGCACATATAGCAATATGTTAAATAGGCATGGTCGCAGCATGAACATGAACAATATCACATATGTCACATCTCCAACATAAACATAAATACTCCTGTGCACATCTTTCATAATAGTCGCAGAAAGGGGTTTCATTACCCTAACGGCGAGAATACGTGCCACGCAAGGACACGGCCTTTCATAATAGGTCTTAAGGAGACTTGCCTCATAAGGCAACCGTATTACATCGACGGGGACAACCGTACCGATGGCCATCATAATAGCTCACATCGGTAAGCTACATATTCACATTCATACATAGATCACGCCAAAACAATAAACATATTTAACACACATTGCACAGATAATTTTAGAATAACAACCCACCTGAAAATTCGGATGGACGATAGCAATTCTCAGAAAAGACGTGGGTCGAGGCTTGACTCCTCAAACACCTACATTAAGTCAAGGTCCTACAATAAGTATCTTGACTTAAAAAGGAAAACACAAAACAGACCTAGTCGAACTTGTTTCGACTAAGTAGTTCGTGAAGTTCTGTGGATGTTGGAACATTAAGACTCGGCACTAAACCCGACCAAACCACATAAGGGAGTTCACATAAATCCATCTAAGGATTGACCAAGTCAAACTCACATCAAAACGAAAATCAAGTCGATTCCCAACTTTTCATTTCAAAATCATGTTTTGAAAATAGTAATCATTAATCACATGAAAATAGATGGTCAGGCTACCCTATGACTTAAGCTCTGAAATTTTGCCCAAAATTACACCTCCCAGAAATTAGTAAAACCACAAAATTTCAGCTTCAAACTCAAAGCACATAAATTTATAAAATTCGTACAAGAATTCAGCAAAAATGCACATGAATTTATATCTGAACCTAATGAATGAATCAGGACTTGAAAATTTAAACTCACAAGCTACAACAGGATATAGACAACATGTAAGAATCTCAGCCCTAGACATTATCTGTGCTAATTTTAAAATTTCCGACAAGATTCAGCAGTTATCGAATTTAAATCAAAATCGAATTAAATTGGACTCCAAAAATTCCCATCTTTTAACAGAATGAATATACAAATAAAATAAGCATCTCAGTCAAGTTTCAGAAGTTCTCAATGAAGAACCGATTTTTAATAATTGATACAACTTTCAGAAGAAACAACAAATCATTAACCATATCAAATTCAACCCAACAATTCTAAAAAATTAACACAGCACACAAACACACCAGTAGCACAACATACTAAAATTTCAGCTCATTTGAGTCACAAACCAATTTACTAAGCATTAAACAGTATTCTGATCAGAATTCACTTTAATTTTTAAAAATAGATACAGGCCTCTAAAAATTACGAAATTTTTATGCAAGGCTGGTAATGAACAGATAACATATCTTTCAAAATTTCAAGTCATTCCGAGCAGTGTGCGATTTTTAATAATTCAAATACTAATTCAGCAATTTCAAAAATCGACAATTCAACACATAATTCCTAACATGAAATTTCTCGTCCGAGGCCTTCCCATAAGGCCAAGGACTCGATGTTGTTCCAATATCACCGACTTACACGAGTTTCGAGGTCTCGTTCAATTTCTCATAATTGAAGAGATCTCGAATAATACGAACACACAACAAATCACGATTTTCACATATACCATATCAACACATTATCGCAAATATAATCGCATCTCGTAAATCAAACATAATACATAAATCACATAAACGATTTAAACGAGACGGAATCGACTAGATACCGTTCTCGGGAACACGGCACGTAGTGACGGTCGAACGAAAGACGACGGCAAACGCACGGTGGCTAGCGCTCACGGCAGCAACAGGCTCGACAACGACTCGTGAAAGGGGTTGTGCAACTCTTCTCGGCCTGCTGGATTGCTGCGATGGTCGAGGACGACTCGTCGGATCTTGTTGGTCACTGCGGAGGGTCACGGCTGAGGAGCAGCGGCGCTGGGAGTACTGGTCGCGGCGGAATTGCAGGCGGTGGTCGCTCGCCGGAGAATAGGGCCTGCTCGCGGTGGCAGGGATCGCCGTGAAGGTGGTCGCCGGCTGCTGGTGCGCGGGACCTTCGCGACGGAGATGCTGTGCGGAGGGGAGAACTCGCCGGAATTTGCGAACAGAGACCACGAAGGGTTGCTCACGGCGCGGCAGGGCTTCTGGGGTGGCGTCACAACGCGGCGGCGTCTGCTCTGGTTCGCGGCGAGGAGGAGCTTGCCGGACTGGTTCGCGAAGTAGAGAGCTCGCCGGAGATGTAGGCGCGCGGAGGAGCGACGGTGGTCGGAGTTGCGGGCTCGTCAGGCCTGCACGGATTTCGCCGATGGTTGCACGATGAGGAGAGAGGAAAACGATGATGGAGATGGCGACGACGGGAAGTTTCTCTGCTCCTGGCGTGCGATTGAAAGAAAGAGTGATGTGAGAGAGAGGGACTTCCTTGCGGCGAGAGAGAAAGAAAAACAAACGAGGGCGACGGGATTTGTGAGAGAGACGACGTGAGGGTGTGAAAAATCATATTGGAGAGGGAGGGGAGATTATATGGTTGCGGCGTTCGATCGAGAGATTCAGCAAGAGAGAGGGTAACAGATATATATATATATATATATATATATATATATATATATATAAACCTAGGTTTTCCTTTTCTCTCTTGTCCTCCAAACACACACGTGCACAAAAGGGAAGGAAAATCGGGTCAGGTCAGTCCGGTTCGACTGGGCTGAGGTGAGCGGGTCTTCGGGCCGGTCTCTCGGGTTTAACGGGCCAATAATACTTGGGCAAAAAGGCCAGAATATTTAGCTCTTGGGCTGAAAATAATAAGGCTCGATTCTGGGTTCTCAGGCTCGATTTATCGGTCTATTTAGCCAAAATACAATGGCTCGTTTCGCTCGATAATTTAAAATAAGATTTTCGGCTATTATAATAAATTATATATCACACATTATTAATTAAACAATAATACACGTTAAGCATTTAATAGACAATTAGGCATTTAAATAAAATAATAATAACAATAATAAAAATAATAATAATAATGACAATAATATTAATTAAAAATCCCAAATATTCTATAAACGAACGGGACGCTACACATACAATAATAACTATATTTTTTGTCTAACTTATAATTTTTTAGTCTATTAAATCAATCACATAATCTCAAGAAATAATTATAATTTTGACTGACAACATTAATAACAATTATGTTTGAAACACTTATTTGGCGATATTATGATCTTTAAAATATTGAAAAATATAAAGTAAAAAAATAAATATAAATTAACAAAATTCAAATAATACACAAATTAAAGACAAATAATTCCAATATCAAACAAGCCAGAAAATTCATATAGTTCATAGTACTCCAATAACATAAAATCCATGAAAATAAAAACCAAGTCCATCCTACTCAAAACAATGAACATAGACCTAGAAGTTCATAATAATCTTATTATATATAAATCATTTCAACTTATATGCTATCCACTCAGCTCGTTCATCTGGGGACATGTTAAAAAACTCTGACTTTTTTGCTTTGGTATTAAGCAAATCAAGAGCTTTGAAACGATCCTCGGAAGTTAAGTCTGGAATCTCTTTAATCAGATCCCAACAGTTGTACTCTTTTGTGTCAATTGACTCAATAGCACGAGTAAACTTTTCCACATTTGATGAAAGATTTTCTACGAGGTCTCGGGTATCTTTAGGATCAAATGAGGTAGCCTTAGTTTGAGAATAAGTTTTAGCTCGTTTTCTTGGAGGTGGACGAGGCTCCGAGCATGGTTGTTGAGTTGAGGTTGGCATGAAAGAGTTCTCAGGAGATGGTGGAGGAAAAAGATCTTAGGTACCTGACGGAATAAAGGCATCACTTGAGGGATCATATGTGAAATCATCTAGCAAGCTCCCACTTTCTCTATTTTCTTCTATAGTGTCGTCTCCTATGGCAATAGAGTGTGTCCCTCTAGCTGTACCGTTACCAACTGCAATTCTCAGATCTTCATAGTCTGGATGAGGGTCTGTCTGTAAGCTTGAATCTTTAGGATGAGACTGGTAAAATAAAGAAAAAATAATAACTGTAAGTTGTACCGAACTTCTTATTTAAATTGTTAAGGTATGATTTATATATTATTTATATAAAAGGGGGGGAGGGCTAACCTTAAAGTAACCTTTCCATATTTCATCATGTGTAGTGAAGAACTTTGTTACGGAATTCCATCCAAAGCCAGAGTTATGCCGCATAAGCTCATGGTAGTATATTGATTGTAAGTCCGGGCAATCCCTAACTTTTCATTCAAAGGCTTTAGTATATGTCTTTCGACGGTTATCTTATTTATTTTTCCAGCGTGATCACGCCAACCACGATTAGAAACACAACTGTTCGCTAATTATTTTCGCTATCCGCAAGTGTACGGCGTAGCTATAGGTAGTGGCGAGCAAGGTCGTATTCCACAGAGATTGTAGTTAAATTAATTAAGTACTAAAATAATGACGACTAAATATTATCTAGACTAATGAATTGGATGATGATTATTAACTAAGAAATTAAACTAAGAACTAATCTAACAAAAAATAAAAATAAAAATAAACAAAGAAACAAAAGGTAGATTCTAGGCTAAGCATTCCTCGGAATTAATTCATGAAACGTTTATATTCAAACAAACCTTATTTAATATTACCAATCGTAGAGATAATCGCTAAATTGATTTCAAACCTTTCTCTCGAACAAGTCAAATCGTAGATATTAATTGTTATCTATCTCCTCTCGGTCTCAAGATGAACAATTAACTCCCATAAGTTCCTAGGATTTTCGTTCTCTCGCAAGGTCCTATCAACCTCTCGGTCTGTTTATTCTCTTACGTTATAAATCTCCCAATTCTAGCAATCAATTATCTCCTCTCGGTCTCAAATCAATCACAAATATTCATTTATAGTGGCCATCTACTTACACAATAATAATAAGCACAAGAAATTTATAAACGAAAGATAAACCAGAATGAAAGAAATAAAAACTAAATCATAAATCAATCCGAGTACTAACAAATCCTAGAATCTAATATAAATCTAGCCTAGAAACATGATTTGAAAATAAGAAAAATAGATACAAAACATTGAGTTCGAAAGAGGAAAAGAAAAAGAAAGAAAAAGCTTATTTGGCTCCGTCGATCCTTTCTTCTCGGCTTTCTCCCTCGTCTTGTTCCTGTTTCTAGCCTCCAAAGGTCTCCAAAATATGTCCAAGACTCCTCCAAAAACGTGCCCAAGGATTGTACATATAGTTGGGGTCGAGTCCTAGTCCAAATAGGTCGAAAAAATCCCAAAAAATAGGAAAAACGCGTAAAATCCGTACAAGTCGCGCCCAGGGTCACACGACTTGTGTCATAAGCTACACGAGTCGTGTGACAAAGTCGAGAGCTCATTTAGGACCTGTCGGAGCAACACGAGCCGTGTCTCGGGCTCACACGACCCGTGTGTACCGGGAAGCGAAAAACAGCTCGTAATCTTCACTTTTAGCTCGTATATATGCTCTTGGTCGGTTTTCCGGCGTCCCAGTCGACTTCCAGTGATGAAAATACGTCCAGGTCACCGGACATGGCGAGCTCCGGTAAGATTTCGGCGACGGCCTCAGCTCCAAGTAAGGGTGCAACAGCGACTCTGGGAAGCTCGTTTTCTCCGGCACTGTGTTATGTACTGATATAAGAAGTCCCAGGTAGGTTATCGGCGGTCGTACGTGACGTCCAGGTGGTGCGCCATGGCTGTTTCCGGCCAGCTATCCTCAGCCAGTCTTCAGTAGTTGCTTCTCCGGCGTATGCGTGACCGTTCTTCGGCATTCTGAAATCATGTCTGCGGCGGTCGGTTCTTAGGTCGGAGCTCCGGCGACGTATGGCGAGAGGTCCTTCAAGCTCAAAAATGGCAGCAGCGACAGGTGTTAGAAGTTGGCTTCATGTGGAAGATGAAGATAGATATCAAATGACAAATTCGCCCCTCATTTAATTGATGTGTTGGGCTGTTGTTGTGGACCTTGTTGGGCTGATCTGTGGCCCAAAACGTGTTAGACACCTTATTATCCTTGCGGGCTTTGTATTGGGCTCTTCCAAATGCATGGCTCGCACGCTGTTTATATCCCTTTCGCGCTGTTTTCGACTCCAATAATTATATCGACTCCATTTTCTGTCAAAACTCAAATAAAACACCTCATCATAGCTTAATATAAATAATTAAATACATAATTAAATATAAAATAATTAATTACATAATAACTAATAATATATTAAACTACGACGAAACGGACACGAAAATTACTATAAAATGCACGTAAATATGACGTATGTCATCAACCATAAGTTTAAGAAGTTCATTGCTCTCTTCAACAGTCCAACTTTGATATCCTGAACCTTGATCATTTTCTTTCATTGAATCTTCCATTTCCTATTATAGTTTTTTAATCAAAAAAAGATGAGAAAAAAAAAAAAAAGTTATTGTAGCACCACACTACTAGTAGCCAAACTAGTAGTGAAAAATCTCTAAATACCATTTTCATTAACTTCAGCATAGTTTAATTATTCTACAAAATTAGCTTAATATGTCATAACATATAACAAGAACCTGGAAGACTTTTTGTGAAAAATAACATAACATAAAATGAATTAGAATTAGATGTTTTGATTGTTGTGAAAATAAACATAATATAAAATGAAGAATATGGAGAAGAACAAAAATCATTCAAGGTTCTTACTATGATTCGATTAATGATATTGCAATTGTGAGCATTGAGAGTATTCATATGCCATCAGAAACCAGACGTGATGTACCCATAAAACGATTCATTGGTTTTATAATAGGTATATATACAGCTTGCAAACAAAAGATAAACAATTCATAGGTTTTAGAATAGGACTCACATGTTATAACTGTTGCACCAGTTCATACATAACATAAAATGAATTAGAATTATATGTTTTGATTGTTGTGAAAACTATTAATCAAGTAATAACATGAACATAGAATTAAACATGATGTAGCATCCTATATCAACTCAAGAGATTTATTAGTGAACAAATCACATGAATATAACTCAGAATATTTGCATTATTAATTGTATTCACAAACTAATGACTAATCACTTGAATTGGTAATCCTTTGTTGTAATAGAAGAGTAAATGGGAATCAAAAAAAAATTTCGACAATTCTTTGCTTTAACAGAAAATTGGCAATCAAAGAACAATTCATTAAACATAAAACCAAAAAAAAAANATAAAAAAAAAAAAAAAAGGAAAAAAATGACAGCAAGGAAAGAATTACCGCATGATGATGAGAAAGTCATCTATCGCATTTATGAATCAAGAAGATGCCCGTAATTCAACTTTTATTTGTTATCGATGCGACTGTAAGGACTTTAGCGCAGGAAACTTTTATAGAACGCCTTCCATAGGCAATATGTCGAGATGATCTACTGGATTAAAGAGATGCTTGTAAATAATTATAAGAACAGATGTTGGTACCTTTTAGAAGAATCAGGAGCAAAGTGAAGATCAATCGTTCTCTCGCAAGAGAAATCGTTCCCCACGTAAATTCTCTCAAAATCTCTCATCTACTGGTGGGATTTGTAATGGGATTTGATATATATACTTTTCCACTAAAATCTCTCTAAATCCAAATAAATGACAAATCCAAAAGAATTGAAAAGGAAATGAATATCTCTTGATTTTATGGGACTTTAAAAAGTCCAAATTGAATACCTATGGATTTGTAGAGACTTTTAAAAAGTCATTCAAAATCCTAATTGAATACCTCAAGATTTTTTAAAATCTTAAAAAGTCCTATTTAAATACACTTTCCCAAATCCTACAAAGTCTTTAAAAGTCTTTAAAAATCTTAAAGGAATACACCCCCCTTAATACCAAAAATTACGAAAAGGAAATTGAACGAATTTATAAAGACGAATGGAATAATTGGTTTTGTAATTGTTATTTTGTATTTTGGTTTCATGGAATTTTGCTGGTGTATTAGTATCTGATGGCTTCAGATGGTTAGCTGCCATCATTATTAATAAAGACGAAGGGAATATATGATATCTTTCCACTTCCATTGTACTAGGGAACTTTACTCTTTTTTTTTTATGTTGAACGAGATCTTCTATCGTTTGGGGGAAAAAAATTGGTCGATTAGGAATAAAGATTAAGTAAATTAGTTATTATTTTTTATTTTTTTCTAGAAAAAACAGATAATATAACTCGAAAAGATACAAAGTTCGGGGCTAACTAGCTCAAAATGCTACAAAACACAATAGAAGACCGCAACCAGTGTCCAAAGAAGAGCAAACTAATGAGGAATTGGTAAACTAGCACTCGACAACAGTAACACAAAGAACCCGAGTGCTTGAATGTAACGCCCCAATTAATTTTTAAAGAAAATTCACGACTTTTCCAAAAAATCAAGGTAAAATTTTCGAAAACTTATCTTTCGAATCATAAACTTTGGCGTTACTCATTCTTTTTAAAATCACAGTTCAAGTCATAACTGAACTACGGGGATTCATTACCCGATTTTCCAACGGTGTTCATTAACCGCAACACACGATAAATTTAACATCAGATCATACTCAATCATATATTAAGTAGGGTTTTCAACATAAACCAAATCCAATGTTTTCAAATAAACGAGTTTCAATACGCAATCCAACTTATTCCAAATAAGCAACATAAGCAATGAAGTCAATCTAACATGAGTTCATAAAATGAGCGGAAGCAAATAAATAAATAATGATAAAGGCAAGACCACCACTCGCCCAGTCTCGTCACGCGCTGCTGCTTAACCTGCATCAGTTACGAGCAGGTGGGAGTGAGTACAGTTAAATATCGTACTCACACTATGCAATGCACATTTCATAATATGTCAAATTGGCATGGTCGCAGCATGAACACAAATAATACACATATGTCACATCTCCATCATAACATAAATACTCCTGTGCACATTTTTCATAATAGTCGCGGAAAGGGGATTCATTACCCTAACGGCGAGAGTACGTGCCACGCAAGGATACGGCCTTTCATAATAGGTCTTTACGGAGACTTGCCTCATAAGGCAACCGTATTACATCGACGGGGACAACCGTAACGATGGCCATCATAATAGCTCACATCGATAGGCTACATATTCACGTTCATACATAGATCACGCCAAAACGGAAACACATATTTAAACACACATTGCACAGGTAATTTTAGAATAACAACCCACCTGGAAATCGAGGTAGGATATCA